TTTATCGAAAATACGGATGACTGACGGCTATGTGTACGAATATTAATAGTCATTGCAATTGAAACGAGCGCGCGATAGAGCGAACGCGTTAATAATGGCCGAATGAATGACGTATCCGATCATTATTTTGGATCTATCAATTTGGATTATAGATCTTAAATGTGGAACTTTATTAAAAATGCCGATTGATACGGACATCGCTTGGAGATTGGGTTGCTACAGCGTATGCCTAATAACTTTCGAGGAACGGATGATGATCAAGGCTTTTTATTGTAAGCAACGAGCCTGAATACGCGCTTAAGATTTATTCATAACGATCGCTTAGATCGACGCGAAGCCGTCAACTTCTACCAGTAAAGCGAGAAATTAGCCTACAACGTACATCAATCCCGACGAGGAAACGAAAAAATCCTTCCCATTTAAATAATGCTTCGCCATCGAACTCCACGCAATAATAACAACGGCCGACATTTAGAATAATATTATCGTCGAATTAGATAGGATACGTTTATTCGCAATTATTAAGGCACCGCCATAAATAATATAATAAGAAAGCGAGAGCGACAATCGGCTAAACGTCGAGACAGATGACCGTTGGCTCATTTATTCCCTTTTGTTATTCAACGGGCAATAAAAGACATCTCTTCTCTCTCTCTCTCTCTCTCTCTCTCTCTCTCCTTCTCTTCTCTTTTCTCTCCCGCTCTCTATCTCTCTCTCTCTCTCTCTATCTATCTATCTATCTATCTATCTATCTATCTACCTATCTATCCATTTATCTATCTATATCTCTTTCTAAATATCTGTCTATCTATCTCTCACGAACGTACGCGACTACCCAGCAATCATTCATCCGCGAGAGCTGCACAGCCATAAAATTGGCTCATTAAAGCCGCTTTATTAGAATGTAAAATCGCGCGCGATGCCACCCACGTGGTGCCGTAAAAATTGACGTTGGATACGTTGATTTCCGAGCGTCGACGCCTCTCGGTCGAAAAATGTTCTTCCTCTTTCTCGCGCCGCCACCTTCAATCCTCTCTGCCCATACGATGGCCCAATGATTATGCGTATAATTTAATATTGCATAATTGTTTGCCAGCAATAATTAGCACGAGCTAAAACGGGCGGAGTTCGGTCTCGCACGCTAAAACGACACTTTATTCGACCTTTAAACGACCTTAATCGGCGCCTTAATTTTCAATTGGACAAGGAGAGTACCGACCTGTCAATATTCAGAGAGCACCGTAACCACCATCGAGGATTTTTTTAATATAATGCAGAAATCCGTAGGAAGCGAGATGAGAACTAACGTAGCAAACATCTCCTTAATACCACATTCGTAACAATACAAAAAAAATCTACCTGCTCTTTCTCAGTTTTGCAGATACTTCCTGCTCTTTCGCCAACACATTTCAAACGCTCAAAAGTAAAAGCTGGCAATTAAATAAATAACAATTTTTAGACAATTATGGTTCGCTTGGTAATGGACGTAGCTGGTAAAATGACATTCGCTTCGACAGTTGATAGAAAGATAATCGTTTCCCACACCCTCCAACTGAATATCGTTTTCTTCGCTTCGCTTAAAGTATCGCACGAAAGTGAAAAGGGGCAAATATGAGCCGTTAACCGCGCAATTGAACCAACGGCCACGGTACTTGGCGTACTTGGAGAGGCCGCTAATCGACCAGCCACTCGCTGGCAAATATCGAGGATGGACGAGTTTTACGGGGCAAGATAACGAGCCCATGCGATCGAGCCTAATTCAAAAAGCGCCAATTTCCTGGTCGGCGCACCGAGATCGGCAATTGGCCCATCCGGAGACGGATTATCTTGTATACGACGTTACTGGACCGCAAATCCCCGATGGCACCACTTAAGGCGCTTTATAAAACGCGGCTTCACACCGCGCGAGAGTAATGCCGCTCTCAGACGTCTAGACCGAGGATCGGCTTATGCTCCTACCTGGCTCTGCCTTCCCCCTCCCCCCCTCCCCACTCCAACGCCGAGGATCCGCTCCTTTATTATTTATGGCCTGCAAAAGCAGAACAATTAGCAAACGCGGGAGAGAGGTTGAGTGGAGGTGGCAAACCAAGACAAGACAAGGGGCTACGTACCAGCGAGAAGGGCGGTTCGTTCGCCAATAGTTTGGCGGGATGACGACGGCGGTGGGGGTTGGGGTTGGGGTTGGGGTTGGGGTTGTGGGGGGGGGGGGGGGGTTGGGGGGGTGCAAAAAAAAAAGAATAAAAAGCAAAAAAAACAAACAAAATTATTTCACGAAAAAGTCGAGCATACGGTATAATAAAAAAAAAAAGAAAAAAAAAAAAAGAAGAGAATTGTTTTGAATAGACAGGAAAAGGTTTACACGGGGGCAT